TAGGGTTCAGGGATTAGGTTTTAGGTTCATGGTGTAGGGTGTTGGAGTATAGGCTTTCGGGATATCGCTCCAATAATGGAGAATGGGAGAATGGAACGGAAAACGAAATGGCCAATGCAATGGAAGCTGGGAGTATACAGTCGTTTACGCCCTAAACCCTGAACTCTAAAGCCTAATCCCTACTCAAATTGTCAATGGATGGCTGGCCCCCTTGCCTTACTTGGCACCGGCATATTGAAGTAGATAGCCGCGGACACGAACAGTTAGGGACAATTTAAGGTAAGAAGTATGGGCCCCTAACATGAGCTATAGGGGCTACAAAAGGGGTCATATTAAAGGGGACTATCACAGGGGTTAATGGAGGGGATGCTCGGAGTTTAGACTATGGCTACTCTGGGTCCTCTGGCCTTTTAGGGTGATTCTAGGCATTGCTAAGGGTAGACTTGTTGCAACCAGCAGTGGGATTATCAAGGATTTGGCAGACTTGCTTGTAAGGCAGCTTGAGGAGCAGCAGCTCAAGCGCGTCCCCAGCACCTCGGCCATGAGGAAGCAAAGCAGAACAATCTTTCTTTTTTTTGGCATGTATTTGTTTCTGATTTGGCAAAGGCAGCTCCTTACCCTTTTTCTTCGGTGGATTCGGCCAGGGCGGCCCCTCTGCTGCTAATCCCATGAAGTGTCCTGGAACAGGAAGGTTCAGAGACCTGCTCAGCTTAGGCGTGGTTGCGCTCTACGCTGCGATGTGCCTAATGGACCGGTTTGCTCTCGCGTAATGATACCCATGTGTGTGAATGTTACAATCCATCAGGAGAAGCCCATTGACAGTGTCGCTTTCTGTCATAGTGGCATTCCAGCCGCATCCATGCTGGGCAAGCGGCTGACTTCACAAGTGAGGACCGCAGTCCGCGTTCCAGCTGCACTCCCTCTAAGCACAGAGTCGTCACTCAACCGCAGGACTGCTACACGCTTGCACGCCATTTATGACAAGGCTGATGAGGAGATCCCCACCACCTTTCCTGTTTCTGGGCCGGAAGCCGGAGTGTGCTGCGGTTTCTGGCAGCAGGTACCTAATAATTAGCGTGGGAAAAGCCAAGGACACTCTTCATCAGATGCTGTCACTTGCACACTGTTGCTCGGCCCACCTGCACTTGTCTTCTCTCAGAACTGGGTTACTTGGGACATTCCCCCCCCCTCATCCGTGAGGTAAAGTGAGCTTGTACTGGCTGCAAGACGGCGGCGGCCACGCCTTCTCGGACGAAGCTGCCAACGCTGTCAGCAAGTGTGTCCACATGTGGCTGGATGAGCGCAACTCCCGGCCCAACATGTTCCGGCCGGACTTCATGCGATAGCCGATAGCACATGCCAACGTTCCATCCCCAGATTGGTGGGGCATTTGATGGCAACAAGAAGTTTGTAGTCCGGCACATAGTCCGGATTGTAGCGCAGTAGGACTAAGTACATTTAAATGAGACAGCTTATTCGCGGAAAAATGTGTTTCGAGCAAAAAGGCCAGAGGCTGTGCGGGTTTGAGGTATACTGACAGCTGCTATGATGTGAAGATTCGCTCGACATGCAGGGGTACTAGCCACTGTCACAGCTTGCGCATTCTACACAGAGATCTCAAGCTGCGGGCTCGGTGTAGTTGGTCCTGTCAGCTTTACTTAGAAATCCTGACTAGTAGTTTCCATTTTCCCTTATCATTCTATCATCTTAATATATACATATATATATATACATATACATATACCCTGTAATAATGTAGTGGTTGTCATTTTCCTTTTCCTTCTTACCATTTAACAACCATAGAACCCCTACATAATCCCTTTTGCCGGTGAGGCCGCACAATGTGCTGATTGATGTGACCGGTTCACACCTGAAGCTTGCCGACTTTGGCCTCGCAAGAGCCTTCTCTGCCCTTGCCTCAGACGTACTGGGGCTTAGTAGAGAAAAAGGGAATAGATGATTTGGGGGGGTTATCTAAGGATGATATTCCATTATTTCCGACTAACCACCAGTACTTGGAATCAGGAAAAACGCGATGAGTTCAAGATGTGCTGTTCGACAGGTGCCATTTCGTGCCTACACGCACGAGGTGCATGTCTTTCGCCCATGGAATTGCAGCCGGCTTTGCTGCTGCTGCGGCCTCTCCTGTGGCTGCAGGTGGTGACTCTTTGGTACCGCGCACCCGAAATCCTCATGGGAGAGCGCAAGTGCGACTCCTGGACACGGAAGCGGCTTGTGATCTTGTGACTTAACAATGCAGGTTTTCCACAGTAGAGCCTAAAGTGCTGCCATCATTTTCTTTTGAAGCCTTTTTTGGCGGCCCAGATTCCCTTCTCGGCCCTACTGGGAAGATTACACGGATCGACAGCTGCGAAAGTGTTTGTGAGGTACGCGATGCCTACGGACATCTGGTCCTTGGGCTGCATTGTTGCGGAGATGGCCACTTGCCAGGCCTTGTTTTGAACCCTAAGCCTTACATGAAAGGTGTCCATAATTGGGGGGCCCCAATAGGCCCCAATAGATTTCTTGGAAGCCTCTACATTGTACGTAGAGGAGAGTCCTTCTTGATGTTCCTGGCGTGGGTTCTGCTGTTTTGCCTGAAGTCGCAGCTCTGGAGTAGAAGGTTTTGATACAAAGGCAAAGCTGTTAATGATGATGAATCTCTATGCAAGATGAGTTCTCTTCTTTCGCCTTGGCAGGTCTTGTTTCCCGGAGATAGCCAAATAGACCGGGCCTGAGCTTTCTGACAGTTGCTGACTGTTGCGGGGGAAGCCCGAAGCAGCAAGGATACCCTGTTCCGAATCTTTCGCTTGCTCGGGACACCCTCTGAAGAGGCTCATGGGAAAGTCTGCGAGCCCAGAAGCAGCAACTAGAAGCCGAGTCAGCTCGATGTAAATTAGCATAATGGGTTGTATAAGGGTTATATAGAGGTATACTGTGGTTGTACCCGGAACTTGTGTGAAGAAGGCTGAACTTCACAAATTGAGAGTTGAGTCTGAATTCTCGCCTGGGTCTGGCAGATACGCAGGTAGCGCAGCTGGGCATGAAATTCGAATTTAAGATTTCCCACGGCTCCAGGGGGTAGACTCGAATTTATATGCATTCAAGGTTTGGGTTTTGGGTAGTATTCTTATTATTCCTATGATTAGTATTTTTATTTTTGCTATTACTGCCATTATTGCTATTCTTTATCTGGTTTTAATTTCAGAGCCAAGCCTCAACTCTCATGCGGACATGCATATGGAATGTGCATCCCAAACTTTGCGGCTGCAGGATGATCGAGATTTGAATCCAAACCCCCAGTTGAGGCTTGAGATTTGAATCTTGACCTTCAGGAGGTTTTGGTGTCTAGGGCAAGGGCCGCAGGATGTTGCCAAAGAAAGAGCAATCTTGCACCCCTGGTTTCCCTATACACCCCTATACTGATCCTTATATATGCTCCTAGAAACCTAGAAAGAAAGGCTAGTGAGCCCTCACCCTGAGGTCCAGCAAGGTTAGCCCTGAGCACTTGCTGTCCAGGGAGGAAAACCTCCACCTCACCTGTAAAGTAAGGGTTTAAGGCTTAGGGGTTTGAGGGTTTAGGGTTGACAGGCCATTGTGGCGGCTATGGGGATTAACCAAGGCTATGTAGGGGTTATAGGGTTTCTACAGGGGCTACATAGGGATTAGAGTTTAGAGTTTCGGGAACCCAAGTCCCAAACTGCGGCCGAATTCTGGTGCAATCCATTTGTCCATAACCTCCTTGCTGAATTTCGAAGTTAAATCCTCTGACTTGATTTAATTTTGCTCCTTTTCTCTCGGTTCTGGCAAAGCACGGCAATGAAGGTCTAAACATTGATTTAAATTCAGCCTCATCCTTTGCGAACGAAAAGAGAAGATTTTTTTGTCAATTCGCAGAACCTCTGAATGCGCCACCCGGACTGCTGGTTGCAAGCTGAGCTTTCTGCTTGTGTCGCAGGTGTGGCCTGGTGTCAGCACGCTATGTCACTTCACCCTGGACTCTCCAGAGCTTGTGTCGCGAGCAAACGTAGGGAGCACGTCTGGGGGTGACAAGATTGGTAAGCCACTTGCAAAGGGTGTCCACATCACGCTTCATATGCTCAATCATCGTTGTTCCTGCGCGCAGGAATTCCCGCAGTGGACCGGTTCGGCATCAGCCTTACTGGTGTTGATGCAGTTCGGGCACTGGGCTTTGTCAGACCTTCGAGCAATAACTGCTTAGTAAATATGGAAGTATATGGGCTTCCTCATATCATCGGGGTGGATGTTTACCACCCTGTAGGCAATTCTCAGGGGGGAAAGGCCAATAGTCGGCAAGCTTTCGTGCTGAGCCGCTTTCAACAGACAGGCCAACGAGTAGTGATTGAATGGGGAGAATGGCGGAGGGTCCGCTAGGACTAGGATTTAACATCCCAAGGAAGTGGTCTAATGAAGCTTGCCGATCATATGAACCTTGTAACTAGGGATGAAGATTCTACATGGCAACAGCTGTTCCCAGGACCTCGTACACTTGCGCACCAAAGCGCCCGCGCTGGGGTCACAAGCTCGGATTCCATCTATTGGGCCTGCTCTACTTTGTCCTTTTCGATGGGGATTGTCTTCTGTTTTAATTCATGACTTATGACAATTACAGGTTGCAAGATTGTTGTTTGTGCTCCAGACTTCCCAACCCTGAAAATGCCCTGCCATTGATGATGGCAGTTGCTGTTTCTTCCCTGATTTCGGATAGTGCTGCTTCAAGACAGGGGAGGTTTCTCAAGGAGGTTTCTCAAGTCGTAGGCGCCTTTCTGCGAGACCGGTTATGCGAACTTCTAAGAAAGTGGCACGTAGGCAGACACCACTTTAACAGCCTAATATACCATTATGTCATTATGTATTATAATACAATATATTCTTGTCTATTATACTATACGATAATCCAGCATACTATATTATAACATTCTATAATCTACATAATCTAATGTGCTCGAGAACACACTTTTATACATTTTCATCTTCTATAGTAGATTATGATATTCGAAAACACATTATAATATGATATGTAGTTATTCCATACTATACTTTGGGTACTGCCCCCACTCCTTAACAGTCGGATAATGTTCATAATAGGCTATGATATTCTATAACATGCTTTCATTTACTATGATATTCTATATTGTATTATATTACATATTAGAAGATTCTATGCTATACTGGACTATACTATACGAGATGAAAATGTTCTATACTACACTATACTATGCTCTGGTGGTACAAGCAAGGCCAGAGGGGCTGGATCTCATCAACCAGTGCCTCAGGCCGGCTGGCAGAAGCTTGGTGTGTTTGACAAGTTCCTGCATGTTGCTGGTTTTTAGTAGGGAATACGTGAAGAGAATATAGGGTTTGCGGTTTAGGATTGGTAGGGAAGGAGGGAATAATATCCCTAAAAATGTATTCTCTCAGATTCCCTACTAAGTCACAACCCCCTACTCGCTTGTACCTTGCGAAAGTCTGAGAGGTTGCTGCCTTGTACAATGCCAGTAAGACTGACAATACTGCAATTTGCGCAGATGATTCTGGTTGTCATGATGTCAATAGTTTGTTATCCCAATATAACCCCAACATACCATAATAGCTTCCATTTTCTTTTCCATTGTCCCAATATAATCCCAATATACAATAGTGGCTTCCATTTCATTTTCCATTATCCCAATGTTACCTCAATATACCAAGCATAGGGATCATGAGAACTGTCGCAGAAACGGTGTCAGGCAAGTTCCGCTCAGCGCAAGCCCATTATCGCAATATCACCCCAATATGCTATAGTAGTCTCCATTTTCTTTTCCATAATCCCAATATTACCCCAATACACTGTAGTAGAATCCATTTTATTCTGTACGTGTTTAGCTTACTGACCTTGAAGGTACAACGTGGCCGAGCGTGCTTCGGCGCGGCATTTGCGCTCCGCCTAACTGTTTTTGTGATGTCTTGGTTACGTGGAACTTCATAGGAGCAGGGAGACTTGGGGGGGGCTGTCACTCTTGGAGTTGTTTTTCGAGCTTGAAGCTTTAGATATAGGTTGTTCTTGATTAAGTAAAGCTGATCTACTTTGCCTTTCCCTTCTTGCGACTGCTTTGCAGAAGAGTTTTTGAATTGAACGCTGGGCGTCTAGCAGTTAAGAGGTGGGAAGAATTCGTGGTTTGTTGCGAGGTATCCGAGAAGCGTTCGTAATCATCGCGAGCTGTTTGAGGTCACGGTCGCTATTTCTGTAGTTGTCGTTGGGTTTGCACCGTATCTAAAACAGTACGAGTTTCGTCCCTCGTATCTTCGTTGGGTGTCCAACGTGTCAACAATCACAGAGTTGGCAGGGTCGGGGTTACCATTCTCGTAACCCTGGCTTTAGACTCACATCGGGAGGAGAGGAGGCAGAGGAGGCATCATGTTTGTATCATGCCTTTGTTGGACGCCTCCTGTATTTTGGCTACATAATGCAACGCGGCATCCAGGCTCGGGGCTTGTATCAGGGCCCCCGTCAGCTGGCCATTTCCATGTTTGCTGCTTGATCCCTAAACCCTAAACCCTAAACCCTAAACTCTAAAAGGTCGCAGCACCGGTTCTTCGAGAATTTCGAGCCTGTGGCGGAGCATGAAGGGAGGCAAGCGTCGGGGGATAGCTGGTGCTATGACCGCAAGGTTTCTGAGGACCCTGGGAGGGAGGCTGTATTATAGTAGTAGTAAGAATATAGTAGTAATCATAGCAATAAATAGTAGTAATGGAAAAGAACATGGAAACTACTACTTAGGGTTTAGAATTTTCTGCTGATGTTGAGCAAGATCTTGTGAGTCCATGTTTCACCAGGATTTGTGGCGTTCTCCTGGTTGTTCGGGCGAACTGGTTGCAACCATCAACTACCACGAGTCATGGGGCAAAGTTCTCCGGAAGTACTTGGAGAGCGGAAACGTGAACGACTATGTTTTTTTCGATTGCAATTATAGGCGCATTCCCATCCCAGCGGGAAGCACCTTCATCCCGAAGAAAGAAGACTTCCCAATCAGGGTCTTCACGAAGGCCGGAAGGTTGGCTGCGATTCTATGGTCTGCCTTGTCCAGAATGCAATCCTTCCCTAAACCCTAAAAACCCTAAAACCCTAAACCCTACACCCTAAACCTTACACCCTACACCCAACACCCAACACCCTACACCATAAACCCCACACCCTAAACCCTTCCTGTGGAGGCACCCCGAGAGAGATATTTCATCCTACAGGACCACTGGGCCCGCAGTCTGGGCTACTGTTAAGGAACTTAAATTAAGTTACCGTAATGGGTATATATAGGGATAATGGAAAAGAAAAGGGAAACTACTATGATGGGGTTATATAGGGTTCAGGGTTTAGGGTGTAAGTTACCATAATGGGTATATATAGTAAATAATAGGGTTTCCCCAATATAGTAACTTAATTCAAGTTCCTTAACAGCAACCCAGGCAGTCTGGGCTACACGGGCGGCCAAGTCCGAGTGCTCGTCAAAGACGCCCGCGAGAGCCTGGTCCACGTTGGATTCCCGGATGGCAAGGAAGGTTGGGTGCCGGCCGAAGAGCTCTTTCCAGTAGAGGCCAGGGTATATACAGGTTATATTGGGGTTATATATAGGGGTTATATAGGGGTTATATAGGGGTTATATAGGGGTTATATTGGGGTTATATTGGGATAATGGAAAATCAAATGGAAACTACTTTTAATAGGGATCATGAATTGTTCCAAGTGTAAGGGTTGGTTCAATGAGGGGAATTTGGCTACACGTGATTGAAGAGTGTTATGAAAACATCCCACAACGCTTGTCCAGCTGTGTACAAAAACTTGACCTCGGCCGCAGGTTGCGTAGTGATACCGGCTACCGCAGATGGGTGCATCATCAGTCAAATGGACTGCGATGGCCCTGTCGATTCTTCATTAAATTTGGATTTTCTAGCAGAGGCCCTGAACAGCTAGACGTGTTAGAATTGTGAATGCTTCACGAGGGTTTCTTTGATAGCATCTTCAAGTTTTGCTGCAGCGCTGCGGCAATTCTCTCGGCATTCAGCTGGCGTGGCGGTGATCTCAAGCCCCTAAGCGTTCCTGAACCCTGTGCCCGGCTTGTTTTTTGTTGGGATGCCGCGGGGCGATTGCAGTCATACTGCAGCGCAACACATGTGTTCAACACCTGGCGGCTCTCTAGCGCCAGAGCTGCGAGTATGTACAGATCAGTAGGATTAGGAAATGCACTCCTGCAAGATCGGATTGCAGCACTTTGTGTGGAAGGTGCTGTGCAGGGTAGGCGTAAGTCCAGGTCTCAGATGGCCCAACTGGGATCAGGAAGGCCAGTTGCAGCTGGCCATGTTCATAGACGTCACAGCACCTCCCGCGCAGCGAAGAAGCTTTGACAGTTTTTTCGGAAGCCGTCGTCATTTGCTCGTGCACCAGGTTCAGTCAACACAAGTGTTTCTACTCGCAGCATGATGAGTTTGAAGCAGGTGAAAGGTGTCTTGCACAAGTGACGTGGCTACGGCCCAGGCCTGTTTCCCTTCTTTCAAGTTTCAGCCTGGCCGTGCTCGCACTGTAGTGCCTGGGGGAGCCTTAAGAATCCCCGCAGGGTGGCGAGGATTTGGGGTGGGCCCCAGGCAGTCCCTTGCCACATCTTCTGCCAGGGTGTCCAGTGGCAGAAAAAGAGCCATCGGCATGGATTCACGTCTTGCTTTTTGTGCAATCCTCGAGGCGGGTGTGTGGCAGATTGTAATGCTTGACCCCGCAGGGCTTTTGCCTGTCAAAGCCGTGTTCACGTCTTGCCCTGCATGTTGCCTGGTCTTTTCTTTGTTCTGCCTGGTTGACAGTAATGGACGCCATTGCTTTGGTGCAATGAACATCTCGCTGTCGGAGATCAACGTCTCAAATCCGGAATCCTCTGCTGGGACTGGGAGGGAGCCAAGAGGCGCACGCTCCGCGAGACCTGAGTCCGTTGAGCTCCATGATGTGTGGAGCAATGCGGGGGCTGAACTGCCCAAGGGCTGCTGCTACAGCCGCTCGGACAATGGGGCCACGTCAGGAGGTACCCTGAACCCTGAACCATAATATGAAATAATATGCTACAGTATACTTTGCTATACTGTGATGCATTATAATCTATTAGAAATCTACTACAAAATACGATAATATGTTGTAATCTACTGCGTATTAGAATCTACTATAATACACTATAATGTATTCTAATCTACGATATATTATAATATATAGTAACCCACTATAAAAATGCTATACTTTAGGAGGACCCCCCACCCTGTAATAGTGGTATAGTGGGAATATAAGAGGACCCTAATATAATCCCTATTATCCATTATAGTCACTATTACTGGTTGGGGGGTCCACTTAAGCTATGCTATAATTGTTCACACCTAGGCCGTGGACTCTGGAGTTGGCTATTGGACTTGCTGATCGGCGTGGTGGTCGCCGTATGTGCTCAGGCAGTGCACTACGGCCACGAGCAGCTCCTTACTGGGCATTCGTAAGAAATGAGGGAATAGATTCTATAGGGACTTCATAAGGATTATATAGGGGCTATATATTGATTATATTCCCTTATTCCTTTCTAACCACCTTACTAAGGTTAAGCGAGTTGCGAATGTATCTCGTTGGATTAGTGCTGCCCGGCATTCTCACTGCTTGGATTGTGAACACCTTGGTGAACCTGGTGTTTGTGGCTGGGTGCTGCTAAGGAACTTAGCTTAAGTTGCTACATTTGGGAAACTAATCACTGCTATATTTCATCATGACGGCAACTTAAACCCTAAGGCCTAAACCCCAAACCATAAGGCCTAAACCCTAAACCTTAAACCCTCACCCCTGTATACTCCATTCCTGAACAGTTGCCCAGGTGGCGGGTGCGCATCTCTGTGTACTCTGGCAGCCGAGCGCCATCAGTGGTGGCATCCCAGGCCTGAGGTTTAGGGTTTAGGGTGTAGGGGTTTAGGGGTTTAGGGTTTAGGGTTTCGGGGTTTAGGGGTTTACTGTTTAGGGTTTAGGGTTTAGGGGTTTAGGGGTTTACTGTTTAGGGTTTAGGGGTTTAGGGTTTAGGGGTTTAGGGTTTAGGGGTTTACTGTTTAGGGTTTGGGGGTTTAGGGTTACTTCAACCTACGAGAGTATGCTATAGTATACCTACTAAAGTATACGGTAGTATCTTCAAATCCACAAGATTATGCAGTATACTTAGTATGATATACTATATTATACTATAAGAATATACAAGTACTATAGTCTATTAGAGTTAGGGTTGAGGCTTTAGGGTATTATATTATCGAATATTCTAGTATACCATACTACAATAGTTAGTCAAAGACTTATTCTTTTGTTTGATGCCGCTCAGTTGCTTTGGGTCCTGAGGTGTGATCGCTTTCTTGAATGGCGTGGACCTGAAAATGAACTTGTTCACTCGCGACATTCTTGCCTCCTGGCTGACATTCCCTAAGCCCTAAACCCACAAAACCCTGACCAAAAGCTTGAAAAGCAGCTCCGTGCCTAAGGTGGCAAAGATTCTGGGTGTCATTTGTGCATGTGGCTCTTCGTTGGCTGTTGGTCCTGAAGGGCCGATGATCCACATTGGGGCCGCTGCAGGTGGGAACAGAAGAAAGAAGGACCAACAGTGAGAATAGGGGGACCAATGTACAGTAGACCGCAACAATATCATGATCCCTATTATTTAGGTGGACCCCCCACCCAGTAATAGTGACTATAAGGGATAAAAGGGATTATATTAGGGTCCTCTTATATTCCTATTATACCACTATTACAGGGTGGGGGGTCCTCCTAACCTATTATTGGGATTCCCAAGACAGTGCCCCTAATTTTGGGAATTCCCCCAAGAAAACGACCAGGCGTCTTGGTTCTCGGGCAGTGCCGCCGCATCGACTGGCTTCGACGGGTGCTGCAGCTTACTGGTGGTTAGTAAAGGTATAATAGGGATTATCTTATACAGGATTGCATTCCCTTATTCCCTGTATAATCCGTATATACATCCTTCTACGATCCCTATATAGTCCGCAATATACGCCCTATGTAATCCCTATATGATCTATTCCCCTATTCCTGTACCATTAGTAAGGCAGGGAAGTGGCGGGAGCCGGAGTTTGGAGCTTCACGCCGCAGCTGTGGGAGCGGGTTGCGGAGTCACTGCTGCATTCTGGGCCCCCCTTGCAGGCACAGAAGGGTTTAGAGGTTTAGGTCTTGGGGTTTAAGGGTCGAGGGTTTAGGGCTTAGAGGCTTAGGGTGTAGGGTTTAGGGTTTAGGGAGGTGTGTCTCCGAAAGTCATCTAGAATGAGAATGTAGAGTGCAGAGCATGCTGAGTGTAGGTTGCTGAAAAGATAGGGTTATCAAAGCAGAAGGCTGCTTGCTTCACAGCTGGCCTTATGTTGCAGGGACCCTGTTTGTGGTTGAGGAGGCTGCCACGTACCTTTCCCCGCGCTTCTTTGTCCACGTCTTTGGTGCATCATGTCTCTCTCTGGGCACGGTGCTGCTTTGGCAGCAGCTCTGGCAACACACCGGTCAGTACAGCCCTTTGTTTCAGGTTTTCCTGGGGCCAAACTGCTCGTATAGCGAGTTCATTTACTACATCAGCTGTGGAATGATTGGCTTGATTTGTGGCCTTCTGGGCTGTCTCTTCAACCGCGTGGTGCTGGAGATGAATTTCATGAGACAGCGCTTGCGAAGTCAGGGCTGGAGACGTGTGTTTACTGTAGAGATTGTTCTCATCGCAGTCTTGTCAAGCTCCATTACCACTATTATGCCCGCAACTGGGGTATGCCGAGAGAGCACAATTCAACGCGCCTTTATGGATAGCAACCAGTGTATAGCTGGAGAGTGGGCGGACCAGATCTTCCAGGGAAGAGAGAACTTTCAGGAAAAAGCGAAGATGGTCCCCTCTGCAGGTCTGTTTGGAGTGCAGTACAACCCTGACGCCTGTCCCACGGCCATCTTCAACGACACGCACATGCAGCCATGCAATCTGGAGAAGCTGGGCTTCAAGTTCCCCTCGCATGTGCCTGAGCGGGAGCGCTACTTCTACTGCTGCGACTTCGACGACATCGATTCTTTTCACCGCGGCCAAGTGTATAGTTTTGTGGATCCCCGGGCGCCCCTGAAGCTGGACGAGGCCTTCTGGCCAGTTTTTGGCTGCGAGCCGGCTCCTGGCAACATCAGCATCCCGATGTACCGGCCCATGGCAGCCTTGGCCTTCGTTCCGGGAAGGATCACTGTAAAAAATCTCTTCACCCGAGGCTCCCCGAACATGATACCCACAAACGCCATGCTGGCCTTCCTCCCCCTCTACTTCATTTTGGCTGCGATCACATCTGGCGCCGCTGTGCCCAGTGGCCTTGTTGTGCCCATGATGATCATTGGCGGGTGTGTTGGACGTCTCGTTGGCAACCTTTTGACGCAGATGTTCCGCGATGCCTGGACATGTCCCGCCGGATGGACGCCTGAGTACAGTTTGCTGCTCAGATGCATCTCTGGGATAGATGCGGTAGGCATGTAGTCAGGCCTTGTGAGGCTATGTGAGGCCATCTGCATCCCTGTGAGGCTGCTGGAGATGTTGGAACAGCACGGCATCCACAGAGACTTCTCACATGCCTGTGGCCTACCGGATCCAGGCTCCTTTGCGATCGTGGGGGCTGCGGCTTTCATGAGTGCCTCAGGGAGTATAGTCCTTTTTGTGATTGCCATGATTGTGGAGATCACAGGGGACATCGCCTCAGTACTTCCCATCGCATTCGGCGCCATCACGGGACGCTTTGTAGTCCGTTCATTCATCGGTCATGGCCTTTACCATGACCTCATGCAAATCACGAAGCTCCCGTTCCTGACGAGGGAGTGTCCTTTGCACCCGGGAGTGCGGAAAGCACCGGTCTCCGTGCTGCTGCAGGACGGTGAAATTGAAGCGCCACGACTCAGACTTTTGCGTCAGGACGCAAATCGCGACGACGTGCAGGAGCTGCTGGAGAGCTGCAGCCACAATGGCTTCCCCATCGTGTCTGAGAGCGGTCAGCTTGTTGGCCTTATCCGACGGAGCGAACTGGAGAGCTGGTTCTCAGAACACCGAGCTGAGGCCCTTTACACCCGAGCAGACCCGGCCCCCTACACTGTGCACAGAGACTTCCCGGTAGACCGTGCATATTTGCTGTTTCGCGAACTGGGCTTGCGGCAACTGCTTGTTGTTGACTATTCTGGCAAGCCGGAAGGGGTGCTTACGCGCAGCTCCTTCCTTCCAGCATGACTCACAAGGGGGGCTGAGCGATCAAAAGTCCGACCTTCAGATGAGGGACCAATGCAGGACCTGGAACTTCAATAGCATCAGCTTACTGAGCTTCTAGACTCAGCCCTCATTATGTTCGTTTCAGGATGATTCAGGCGAAAAAACCCGGTTGCGGAGAAGGTTGGGGATTTGGTGATGCTGGTACTGTAATCCTTTGCCGTTGCGTGTGTCGCGACATTTCAGGCATCCTAACACCCTTTCAGAGGATGTTGCAAGACACGCTTCCGAACGCCTGTGAACCTTGGACATGATACGAACGGAATGGCGAGTACCAAGATGCTGGCTGGTCCCGCACGAGCTATCAAGAAGGAATCAACATTAGGGGTCCCCTTTCTGGAAGGTTCTTACCGCAGCGATCCTGGAATATTTGGGGCGGGGGTGAAGTTGGCACATTCAACCCTAAAACCCTAAACTCCCTAAACCCTAAACTCCTTTTGAGACAGCCAAGCGGCTCGGTCGGTGGTCGAACGGGGCCAGATGGCCCCAACCTCAGATGGGGGGTTGGCAGAAGTGTGATCCCTTGCGAATACCCTGCATATTAGGGGCCGGCCTGCAGCCAAAAAGGGACCATCATTTTGACACCCACCTACCAGATGTGGATCTTGGACTGTGACAAGCTCTGGGCGCTTTGCAAGAAAGCACCCCTTTACAGACCCCAAGCCCAAGAGGATCAGGAGGGCTGCCGAGTTTTGGTGACCCCCACAGGGCTTTTGTGCATGTCATCAACATGGAAGCGTTGGTTTGCCCATACAAGGCGTGGTCTGCGCGCCTTTTCGGTTTTGGACTCAGCTTTTCCTAACCTTCCGGAGTGTGCAAAGTTGTTTCGGACATCTACCGTTACAAGTGACTTGGGGCAGAGTCCAAAGTATAGCCAAAAGCAGAAATTGGGACCTTTCCATAATTGCAAATTGCAGCCTGCGCAGTGCAAGGCCTCTTTTTTGCTTGTTGTTGCCAAGGGAGGGCCCGAAGGCCACGTGCTTGCCGAGGTTTGGCATGTTGCAGCTTTGCTGCGGGACAAGACTGGCCAGCATGTCAGGACGGTCTGAAACTTGTACTTTTCAACGGCTTCAAGCTTGTGAAATTGCGTGCGACAAGCTGCAAAGATTACCCATAGTAGACTTATGGGTCTGGCGATTCCATAGTCTTTTGAGTTCTGCAGCTTTCAAGTTAGCAGGGAAGGCTTCAGGAGAGTTGGTGCTCCTTCTTCAAGTAACGTTCCACCCTCTTTAATCTTAGGGGCCCCCCCCAACAACAGGGCCCCCAGAAAAATGGAAATTAGATGTCCTGAATAGGGGTCCCACGGTACTGATAGCCCGGCAGGCCTTGGAGATTATTTTAAAGGGATGGTCTGGATTGAATTCCGCATTTTTAGGGCCCCAAAAACTAACCAGGGTCACCCAAAGAATGGCCATGTCCTGAATAAGCGGCGGCGAAAACACATTAACGAGGGCCCCTACACAAAAGTGAGTGCAACATTAGGAGCCAGTTGCAGAATTATTGTTTTCAGTAAGGTATTCGCAATTTTTTGGATAAAGGAGACATCATCAAGTTTTCAGCCCATCATCTCGGGCTTAGGCGAGACAGCACAGAAGCCCTGGCACAAGAGCAAGACGGGATTGTAGAAAATTCGTTCTTGACAACTGTAGGTGTGCCCTCCTTCTGTGGTAAGAGCCCGCCCTAAATGGTGCTCTCACGGACAATGTAGAACGCGGCCCACGGAGTGGAACCGGCAGTTTTCCATACAGCTAGCCGAGAAGCAATTTTGAGATGTTACATGCAATCACAGCAAATCAAGCACTCGCTGGACCGGACCGTTGGAATTCCGTTCTCAGTTTGTGTTTGGGATATGTTGGGGATATATAAGGAAAACGGATAAGAACATGGAAGCTACTATATTCTCAAAGGGTATACATTGGTGTTGTATAGGGATAATGGAAACGAAAATGAAAATGGAAACTACTATCTAGGGTACGTTAACGAATTTGTTTGACCATAATTTCGGTAAGGCCCCCACCCAACACCAGCAGCTTTTAAAGGAATATCTAGAGACCCGAGAAAAATGTCCATCATCTCTTGTGGTCGCTCTACGTGGTTATAGTGGTTGGGGGATAACCTAAACCCTAAAGTAGTCTCCATTTTCTTTCCCATT